AGGAATAAAGCAAGTATTTAATATTAGAAGTTATATTTATACTAATAAGTGAAGAAAACATTGTAAAGGAACAATGATAGGCAAACAAGAAAAAAATTGTTGCTTTTGGATATAATCTGATATGAACCAAGTTTTTTAGAATAATCAATAGCTAGTAACATAGAGAAAAAGATAAGCCCATTGAGTCATCAGTATTTTTGTAAATTTCTATATATCCACAAAACCCATCAGGAAGAGAGAGAAAGGGAAATTCTATTCAAATTAATTAACAAACGTATAAAATATTTGGATGTCTACTTACCAAGAAACATAATAACTATTTGATTATATTTATGAAACTCATTTTAGAAATAAAGACAAGATCAGATTATTGGAGATATTATTGTATATGGTTGGATAATACCAATATAATAACAATGATAATATCACCTAAACTAATTTGTTTAATCTGTACCATATCAAATAAAAGCAAAAGGGTTATTTAATAGAAATGGGGAAAATATATCTTTTTTACTAGAGTAACACCAGGTTAAAAATCTCAGTGGAAGTTTTTTTTTTTTAATGGAAAGGTAGGGACTTGGCTATGCCAAATTTCAAACTATCTTATGAAGAATCATCAAATAAATTAAATACTGGTCATAAAGTGTAAAAGATGATCAATAAAACATATTGGTTACACAATATATAGAAACAAAGTATTATAGTATTTGATAAACTCAGAGACTCTACCTATTGGGGAAATACTCCATATTTGGAGCCATTTGGACTTAGAAAACTGAAAACAATCAGGCAGAAATTGGGGTTAGAGCAATTTTTCACACCATATAAGAAAATAAGATGCAAATGGGTACATGACCTAGACATAAAAGGTCATATCATTAATAAATTAGAGGAGTATACAAGTAGAAACTTTTCACCCCTATGGATAGGGAGAAAATTCCATAAGAAACAATGTACACGGAAGATAAAAGGTGATAAATTAAGCAATTCTGATTACATAGAATTACAAAATGTTGCAAAAAGAATAAAACTGTGTTTCAAATTAGAGTGGAAATAATTAATTAGTGAAATTATTGATAGTAAGTTTCTCCAATAAAAGCCTTATATCTAACATCTATGGAGAACTGATTTAAATAAATAAAAGCAAAAGTTATTTCTCGTTAGGTAAATGGTCAAAAGAATATGCATAGGCAGTTCTCAGGTGAGGAAATTCAAGCTATTGGCAGTCATAAAAAGGCTCCAACTTACTAATAAAAGAAATGTAGACTAAAATATCTTTGAGGTTCTATTCCATAATCATCAGATTGGTAAGAATGACAAAAATTTAAAATGACAAAATTTAGATGGGGAAGTGAAAGGGTAGATACACTAATATTCTGTTGGTAGAACCTGAATTGGTCTAGCCATTCTGGAATATAATTTGAAAGTAATCAATCTGTGCATATCCTTTGACCCAGTAATACTACTACTACTAGGTATATACCAAACAAGAGATAAAAAAAAAAAGGATCAACGACCAACATATGCAAAAACATTTGAAGAAGAACTTTTTTTTATTGTAATACATAATTGGAAACTAAAATTTTCATGGTTGCTAAACAAATTATGATAGATGAATGTGATTGAATAATATTACTCCTTAAGCGATAACTGAAGGAATGGAATCATAGAAATATAGAAAGACTTTTTTGAACTAATGCAGGGTAAAATGGTCAAAATTGTGAACCTTATACAAGAAAACAATTTTGAACAGTTTAAGAACTATAATCAATGTAACGGCCAACCACAATACCAGAGGATTAATGATGAAGCATGCTACCTACTATTTAGAGAGAAATAATGCACTAGTGGTACAGAATGACATTTACATTTTTTTGTACATAGCCAATGAATGAATTTATTTTGTTTTTCTGTGTTTTTTTTACTATAAAGAAGTAAAAAAAATGTAAAGGGAAAAGGGATAGTAATACTAATGCCAAAAAAAAAGAATAAAAGGAGTGTAACTGTAGCACTTTAAAAAAAAATGTACTGATGAGTACAGAAGGAAGCTCAGAAGGAGACAGAGATAAGCATAAAAGCTGTGAAACTATCATGTTGAATTTATTATGTATTTTTTTTAAAAAACTTCATTTATAATGGAGGTCTTGACTTTATTTATAATCTTTGATTTTCTTTTAATACAAAAATAGCATCTTTGCTTAAGTTTGTCCAGTTTGAAATGAAAATAAAAATAAAAAATTAAGAGAAAAATGGCAGTTCATGAAGTGTCAGGAGCTCCTCTCATTGATTTCTGATTAGTGCACCATCACGAGCAACATGGTCAGGGAAGTTACACCCAACAGAATCAATGCTAAATGCTTTCAATTTCAAATTATCATTAAGTGATCTTCTTTTGGTTAAACTTTAGGTTATATATGGGTGTCTCATTTCATTCTATTTCAGAACCTGAAGTACCAGACCAGCAAGGACAATCAAGCTTATTTTTTTTTAAATCTGTGTAGATAATAATGATAGTGAAGAGGTAGCAGTAATGTTGATGCAACTGCAGAAATTTCAGACAAAGCTGAATAGCTCTACTCTGGCTTCTTCATTCTTGCTGAGTGATACTCCAGCATCATCTGTATGTCTTTATTGTTAGGTGCCAAGGGCTTAATAAGAGCTGAATGGAATTTACTCATCTAAAATCAAATAATATACAGAAATGGAGAAGTTTCCAGTGAGGTAGAAACAAAGCAGTTAAAAAGACAGAATTGGCTCAAGGGATCTTCATTGTACTGACAGGGTGTGACTGGGCCTGAGCATCAAAAGAGCTGAAATAGTCATAGGACTTTTGGGCATACTTATGAAAGTGCTGTAAACATTCTTTTGTAGAAAAAAAATAATTTAAAGCTGACATTCAGAAAAAGAATTAGCAAATGGTAGGAACAGCTCAATGAAAAACCATAGCAGGGAAAACTGCCTAACAGAATACATTAGCATTTCTACTGGGGAGCAGCAAGTGACAGAATTGGAGACATAAATATTCCTGCTGGGATGAGGACATTTAGTTCTCTAGGCTAGATATAGTTCTTTTCCCATATGTATTTTCCCTCCCATTGTTGGCTTGGGAATCTGTGGAAATGTGTATCTCTATGTGTATAATACTGGGGACACTTCTTTCTTGTTTAGTTTGTTATTCTAATTAAATGTCTTTTTCTTTGAGTTAATGTGATTTGTTCTACTTTTTTTTTAAGCATTAAATGAGTAATGGTAAGCTGTCATTTTGTTAATTGATGACCCATAGTCTACCTTGAAATGATGAAACATTCAGGGCTCCACATTTGAGGGAAAGGGGCAAAGCTACATAGTACATAATATATAACAGCTGCAGGAAAACTCAATATATCTAACAAAAACTCAGAGTTGGAATATAAATCCCCTCTACATTATCACTGAGACTTCCAGCGAGGTAAAAACTTACTATCCGCAGAAGTATCTAGTTCCTCTTCGATGGTTCTAATTTTCTATAAATCCTTCCTTATCTTGAGATTCAATTTGACTCTGTACCATTACTAATTACTTTACGCTTATTTTAAAAAAAATACTCAAGGTCATTTATAATTTAATGTTACCCCACTTTTTCAGTTTGATTTGAGACTATTCACTTTTTATGCTCTATAGGCACTATGTACCAGGCAAACAAAACTGTTCTATGTCTCCATCCTATACCCACCCCACCTCCCACTCAGCTCAAATTTTGCCTGTTCATGGAATGCTTTTTCTCCATTCTCTATGATTGTCACATTCCTACCTATACTTCAAAAACAAATCTAAACTCTTTCCTCTCCAGAAATCTTCCCTAATCTCCCCAGCCTCTAAAGTTGGTAATGTTCTCCCTTCTCCTCCACAAATTTCACATGGAATTTTGTATTTACCTATCTGAAACATTTATTTTAAATTAGAGTTATTAATACATGTCAGATACCTATGAAACTGTTAGCTACAATACTGAACAGAATGTTCTGAACATATTAGATCCTTAACAAGCATTTGTTGAATTTGGGGAATTTTGATATCCATCAATGGGAAAAGTGACCATCAAGGAGGAAAAAAAAACACTTAGGTTTAAATTATTCAATAAGCTCAGAGTAGGATCAGGATGGACATGTTTAATACTTTTCCTTTCTTCCTCTTCACATCCAAGGACTCAAATGGCTACTGAGGCCAACAGTATCTTATAGAGAGGTCCCTCTTCAGGACACAGCTGATATTTCTTCAAACCTTTAACTGATTCAATTATCTTCCTTTCTTATTCTGCCAAGTCTTAGGTTCCTCTCAAAGTGATACTCTGTAATAAAATTTAAAATAGCAGAAATCAGGCACTTTGTCAAACAGGATCAAATCATCTATAAAATGGAACTTGATCCTATTTTCTGCTCAGGAAAATCTCTTTGAATTTTTTCTTTCTCCAAATGTGCTAAATTGACTTAAATCATTTGCTGGGAAATGGAGAAATGAATCTATCCTGTCACTTTATAGAGGCATGGAAAGATGATCAGCAATAAAACAGAAAGGGACACTTTAGGCATTCCACTGTAAATAAACACTGGGCATAATAGTGATAATTCTAGATTTGAATCAAGATTAATCAACTATTTGTCATAAGAGCATAGGTTCATAGATTTAGAGTTAGAAGAGACCATCGGGTCCAAAACCTTCATTTTACGGGTGAGGAAACTGAGGCATATAGTGAGGCCTGGGTGGATGGGGGTTTCACTTGGTTACCTTGATTTGAGTCTTGAATTCAATTCTTCATAGTATTTATACATATGGAAGCATATGCACACAAAGGTGGGGTGCAATCTGTGGTTATAATTCAGATTATTTCTCAGATAGGAACAGTTAGTTAATTAGCATTTATTTATTTGTTTATTGTCATTTGTTTATGGTGGTGAAAAGGAAAAAGGCAGGGAGAAGATTTTTTTTTCTATACCTCTAATTCAAGTTCTTTATGATTACAGATGGTGAGGGGCGGGAACTATACCATAACTAAAGATCAGTAGAGATAAGCAGAAAATATCAGAGACCCACGAGGGAGAAAGAAAAGAGTACCAGAGAGACCTGAATACAGCATAGAAAGCAGCTCATCTGGTCGCATCACCAAGGACAACAGAAGCGTGCTGAATCATCTCAGTAGTGAGTTGTCTTCAGCATACATATTCTTTTCCCATCTGTGTATCCTAAAGATTATGCTATCCTGCTCTGGTGACATAGAAAAGCACACTATTGCGTGTTTAAAATATCTTCCTGCCATTTGTGCTATGCCATTTAAGTAATTATCTTTTGCTTTAAACTAATGTGCCTTCTGCTTGATCTACTAAATAAAACCCACAGATGAGAGCTCATTAACTAGTTTTGTGTGAATGCTGATCTATAGAGTGCCTCAAATCTGCAGTCACTTACTGGGGCCCAAGAGTGAGAAAGACCCCAGGTGTTCAATAGTATATGCAACAGTACTCCTAAATAACCAGGAATTCAAGATAGAAATTGAATTAAGGCACACATTATAGGAGTTGAAAGAGATAGGATCTTGGACTCACAGAATCCCAGAGGGATCTCAGACACTGTCTATACAAACTAATAATTGACCAAGGCTATCTTTTATATCAATGCCATGCCATCATCTTGCCTTTGCTTGAAAATCTGATGAAGAGAAATTAATTCTCAAAGTGTCCAATTCAACATTGAGATACCTTTGATTGTTATGAAGATTTTCTTGATGTCAAACCTAAATCTGCTTCTTTTTAGAATCAACCTATTGCTCCTGTTAATGACCTCTGAGGCCTAATAGAACAAGTTTTCCACATGAAATGCCTTGAAACACTTGTAAAGAACTATGATACTTTGCTTTAGTATTCTCTAGGCACGAATATCCTTCATCTTGTTCTCATAGAGAATCATCTCCAGTTTTCTCAGTATCTTGATAATCTTTCAAAAAGCTAATTTTGAAAAATGGTCATGGTGGAAAGGGAACTAATTGAATACATTTTTATACCCCAAGATTCCGAGCACAGTGTCTGACACATAAGAGATGTTTAATAAGTGCTCGTTAATTGATGGATTGATAAGTGTCCTCAACCTGGCTGAGATGTTTATGCTCATGCCAACAAATATTGAAAAAAAGAACTACTCAGAGATGGTCAAGTTCAATGCCAATAGGTCAGTCAATAAACATTGTTTTTAAGTATTTACTATGTTACTATGTTCTAGGCACTATGCTAAGTGCAGAGAAAACATGTACAAAAAAGGGGATAGTCTCTGCCCTTAAGGAATTTACAACCTAATGGGAAAGACAACATACAAATGCACACTGAAGGTGGGTGGGGGAGAAATATACTAGTGAGGGAGCATGATAGAATACAGTTCAAAAGATTGTTTCTAGTAAAAAAAAATGAAGAGATGGCTGGTCTGACAGTACTCTTTAAATCGAAACTTTGAGAGAAGTTATTGTCTCTGCCTGCAAGCCTTTCAATCAGGGAGAAAGTACTGAGAGAACTGATGAAATGTGAGTGCCAAGGCTGACGTAATCTCAAAAGATGATGAGTTTCTTGAGGATGAGGTTTCCTGAGGCTGTGATGAAGTCCAGGCCAAAGGAGAACAGCTGGTAGGTAATGACCACAGCATTGAAATAGAGATTCAGTAAAACAAAGTATGATGGCAACTGAGATTTGGCATACTGCTTGAGCACCAAGTCCTTCTGCTATTCCTTTGGTCGATGTCATAAATCTAGCCAGGAATTACACCATGGGCTATTACAGCCATGACATAGCCATTAGTCATTGAGCAAATCTGAGAAAAAAACTGTTTAATTACAAAATGTCAATGATTAAACCGAATAAGAAAAAGGCCAACATAAAACAACATAGGTTCAACAAGATTGTGAAACAGAAGACACTTGAGTGAACCATTTCTAATAAGGAACATGTGTTTTAATGGATTCCTTGGATATGGATTGATAACAATTAAGAATGATATAGTACATTGGTCTCAAAATATAAGATCATGCTCACCTTCATGTAGGGATTCTTTCAGTATTTAAGGGGAAAAAATAAATATCTCAAGAAATTGTGTCATATGGACATTGTTACAAATGAGGAAAGTTATGTTGAACTTGACCACATCAGTGTAAATCATTACTCTAAGTAAAAGTATTCTCTTTCAACTTTCAAGGATACCCATGTCTCTTTCTATAATACACTTAACATATTTGAATTCAACAATATATCCTGTATTGTGGAGCAGTCTCTTTCTCTGGCAATGATCCTCATCTTATTTGGGAAGCAAGCAATTATAACTTCCAACTGCTCCAAGGGTTTTAAGTGGAAGATAAAAGCCAAATACTCCACAAATGTGTTCCCACTTTTCCAGTAGGTGTTTGATTAACTAGCACTAACACAGTAAATCAGCAAGGTATTTATCATGTGGAGATGATCAAGTTACGGGGCCAAGAAATGTGCTAGTCATCCTGGGTTGTAAGTATAAACTCAATGAGTTCTCTCTCCCCCATGACCATGCTACAAAGTAATACTTGGTTTAGTAAGGGCAACTTTATAGTAGATGTTTGAGCTTCATGTGAAGTGCTTGAGAGTTGTCTCCACCTGACATAGAGACAAGAGAACATCACTGAACAATCTTTACAGGTTGATCTCTGAGAAAAGCATTACCCTGTTGGCCCCTGCAAGCAAGAGAGAAATCAATAGCCCCAAGATGCAGGCCCAATGAATGATTTAATCTGGTTGGATTAATAAATGCAGAATGGATGCTTGCTCATCAGGAGTGACATCAACTGTCAATTCATTGCCAATGCCTTCCTGGAAGAGAACCAGCTGGAGCATATCATAAAGACATTGCATGTTTTTTTTTTAAGGGAAAGGAATAATGTCTAAAAACAATAGCCCAGTCTTCTTGCTTTGTTTGCCTGTTAATGAGATAGTTTTGTGAATACTCAGAAAGGGAAGCAGTGATCACTGATAGCCAGCAAGGTTTCTTCGAGAATATGTTATGCTAGACTAATGTATTGTACTTATTTGAAAGCATAAGTAGATTAGGAGCATGTTATATGTGCAATATACTTAAATTTCAGCAAAACATTTGACAGTCATTGAAACTATCTTTGTGGGAAAGATAGAGGATTATAAGGTAAATGATAGTATATTTCATTGGATTTGCAATGGTTGAACTAGACCCAAATAATGAAGTTATTTATTCAGGAGTTCTTAACCTGACCAACTTGTGTTTTTAACATTTTAATGACTATATTTCAATATAAATGGGTTTTATATAATACTATGTATTTAATATTATTTTATACAGCTAAAAACATTATTTCAATTAAGTCCATAAGCTTCACCAGGCTGTCAAAGGGATCTGTAATACAAAAAAAGTTCATGAATCTCTGCATTAATTAGTCAATGTCAAATTTATGAAATATTTCTAGTAACACCCCCCAGGGATCTGTCTCTAGCCTTGTGCTTTTCAACATCATCATCACCTTGGATGAAGGTCAGTTTTCAAGTGGCCCAGAAATTTGAGAGCTGCTACACTGACTAAAATAATTCGGATCTGAAAACATGGCAATTGGCTAAAATGATAGCCTACATCTAACGAAACAAAATTTAATAGGGATAAGTGTAAAATTATACAAAGGGGTCAAAAAATCCACTTCACAAATGCAGTTGGGTCAAGTAGCCATATCTATAGAGTCCTATTCAGTTCTTTATACTTAAAAGTTTTGGAACCATATAGAAAACTGGCCGTATGTCCAGAAGAAGGACATCAGGGATAGTTGAGAGGAAGGGAGAATCATCAATGTCAGAATCAGTTGATGGTACTAGGGGTATTTATCTTGAAGAAAAGGATACTTAGGAGGAGACACGACAGCTATATTCAAGTATTTAGAGGGCCCTCATTTAGAGGAGGACCTAGAGGGCCACATGTTGACTGAAGGCTGCATGTTCTCCACCCCTGGGTAGACATTCTACTTGGTCCCTAAGGCCAAACAAAGAACAAACTGTGGAAGTTAAAAAGAGGCAGGCTTTTCTGGCTTCCTCACCAAGATAAAGGAAATAATCACAAAGGCTCAAATAGAATCCCTTGCTTTTTTGATATCTATTGACAAGATTCTCTCATGAGAATCTTCTTGCCTGCCAAATGATTATACTAGATAAGAGGGAAGGGAGTCTCACATAGGAGACAGACAATATTTTATTACAGTATAACAATTGTATTCCCTCTAAGTTATTTCATATTGTTCTTTGCCTTTTCAGTAACTATCATTTTATGCTGTAGTGAACACTAGAATAGTTTCCCTGAACATCAATTCAGTCATTTTCAAGGTCTATGTAATCTTTAGTCATTACTGATACCTAGTAGATTAGGAGTCCAGTCCTGAGGAAGAAGCAGGTACCTCCCCACCCTCAGGGGAAAACTACAATAGTAACAAACTTCTGTACCAAATATATGCTTGATCTAACTCTAAACACTTACATAAACAGACATACTCTGAGAAAAAAAGGGAATGGTGTTAGAAATGTCATCTCAGTCATGAGGCAAAGTTCAGTCTTTGGGACTTGATCTTTATCATCAGGTTCACTATTATTTTTTTGTTTGTTTGATTATCTTTTGAGGTTTTTTTCTTTTTTTTTCTGTGTTGGGATTTCCAAATACCAAACCTTGTTAAAGACATGCCACATGAAACAAAGAGGCAGCACATAGCCCCGAGAGTTTGTTTTGCTCCCTGTGGTCCATTTTCATGGTCGACATAGACCATCACAGATAGAGGAAATGTGGGCTGTGCTATTGAAATCTTGGAAGGGCTATAGTGATAATTAGGACCCATACTATTCCACCAGATGGGATATTAGCAGCCTGCAGTGCCCACACTGCATAGAATTCAGACAAAGTCATTAAGTAGCTAATTTTATCAATAGAGGCAGTGGTTTTAAGCCATATATATTGATTAGGTTAATTGGAAAAACACTTGTGCTGCACACTCAACATTTTATCAATTTTTGTCCATCTGGCAAATACAGTCACTTTATTTGTGCTATGCTAAGTGAGCTTTATGTTATATCTCTATAACTGAAACACCAGGTCCAAGCAAACATGACTTGTCCACAGATATTTGTCATTTATCAGTTGATTTGGTTCCACTTTGTTTAACCTGATCAGTTGTATAGAAATTGTTCACTAAAATACATTCAGGATGGCAAATAGATGCCAGAATACACAAAGATAATATATAGCCATGATTACAGTTTCATTTTTGGCTTGCACTGTCATTCAGACTCTTTCCCTCAGCCTCCAACTTACCCATGCTTACCAGAATAATAATTGTTATAAAGGGCAGGGGCTTAGCTGCTGAACAAATCAAACTCTCAAAATTTTTGATGTCTGTTTCTTTAACATCTGTTTAATGATGCAGCTGGAAGTGGCATCCCAGGCTAAAGCAAAGAGGAAGGGAGGAAGATCCATCAGAACCATCAGTCTTAGAAAGAGAATGATGCCAATGTTTCTGTAGACGAAAATGAAGGACTGCTTTGACCCCAGGTATCTGCATCCCCATAATAGCATCCATCATCATCATTGCCAACATTTATATAGTGATTTAAGATTTCTAAAGTTTTTTGCAAATTTTATCTCCTTTTATCCTTACAAAATCATGAGAGGTAGGTGTATTATTCTCCCCATTTTATAGATTAGGAAACAAAGACAGGTAGAGTTTAAGTGACTTGGTCAGTCATCCAACTAGCAAGTATGTAACACTGAAGTTGAACTCAGGTCTCCCTCGCTTATCTAGCTCTTTATCTACTATGCCACCTAGATGCCAACATAAACTTATAAGTAAACATTGGACTAAGTTTAGACTATAGAACACGTAGGCTCTCTCTACAGTCTTTATGGGGAGCTTGACAGAGGAACAGAAAGAAGATAACTAAGCAGTTAGAATGTGCTGCACCCAGAAGTTTGGAGACAAACAGATCATAGATTCAGAGCTAGAAGGGGATCTTAGAGACAATCTTAGCCCAATCCCTTCATTTTACAAATGAGGAAACTGAGACCCAAAGACATAAAATGATAAACCTGAAGTCCCACAGGTAGTAAGAGATAGATGTGACATTTATCCCAGGTCCTCTGACTCCAGATCCCATGCTCTTTTCCATGGGACTTTCTTACACATTACCTCTGGCCATCTTGGATGTGGTAGAAAAAAACAAAGCACAGCTTCAGGCAAACACATACAAGTCCTTCTTTTTTCCTCCTAGAAAGTGGCTGTAGCAACATGCTCTCTTCACCTAATTTCCTAGCCTTTATCTTGGGGCCTCACTTGCCTTTTCATTTTCTCTCTTTGTCATTTATGTGGCTTGAAACTTCTCTTACTGGCACCTGTCCAGTGCTGCATCTTTTGTTGTATGTTTGGAGAGTGGAAAGAGTATGAATTTGCATGTCTTCCATTGTAAGACTATAATTCTGAAAAGTAGATTTCCCATCAATATAAGATCTTTTTATTATACTTGGCCATATTTGGTAAACTCTAATTACTGCATAAGAATTTATTTGCCTTTTAATTTTAGGTGAAATGCAAACATGCACATGTGATGTTTTTTTTGGGGGGGCAGGCGGAGTTCAGCCTATGAATAAGACCCCACCATCAATTATCAAAGCTTCACAGAAGTATAAAGAACTAATTCTTAGAAGGGAGTTGGAATCTTTCATTCTCAAGCATAGTTCTAGTAACCTAATCTAGAACTGAAAGGCCCCTCAGAGATCACTGAGGACAACCTGTTTCTGTGACAGAGAATTCAAAAACAGAGTGGTTAAGTGATCATATGAATAACAAAAACAATCAAAATCATTTCATTATACCAGTTTAATGGAAAGCTTCTGACAATTTAGACTTCAATTTTTATGAAAAACACTATGAAGCCTAGATAATTGGATGTTTCCTTAGTGTGGTAAATAACATTTTGTACTAAAGCTAGTACTACACATAATTGAAATAAATTAATGCCCTTTCAAATAAGATCTTGGTAAAGCAATGATGTCCATTATCACTACTATTTTTTATAGAACTAGAATTTCTAGCTAAAGCAATAAGATAATAAAAAATTAAACTGAATAGTCATAGGCTAAGATGCAACAATATTATTGCTTTTTGCATATTATATGATAATCACAGAAAGTCAACTAAAATTAAATAAAATAATTAATAACTTCAGCAAAGTCACAGGATATAAAATAAACACAAATCATTAGTTTTTCTGCGTATTATCCACAATATCTAACAGGAAGAGATATAAAGGGGAAAAAATCCAATCAAAATCACTTCAAAATGTATAAAATATTAAGGAATACACCTACCAAGACATACACAGGAGCTATTTGAATTCAATTACAAAATGTGCTTCACAAAAATAAAGACACATCTAAGGAAGTAGAGAGATCATAATTGTTCATGGTTGGGTCCTGCAAGTATAATAATAATGATAATATTATGTAAATTAATTTACTTATTAAAGTCCATATCAATTAAACTAACAAGGGTTAATTAATAGACTTAGAAGAGCATTGTAAAATTCATCTAGAGTGAAAAATGTTATTTCTAAAAGAAATAATAAAAAAGTACAAAATATCAGAGCCTATCTATTTTCTCAAACTATATTACAAAGCTGGAAACATCTAAACCATTCCAAATTAGTTAAAAAATTGAAAAAGCTGGTAGGTAGGACAGATTATTTATATAGCAAATAAATATGATTTTTGATAAAGATATCAGCTCCTCAAATAAGGTTTCACTATTCAAGTATAAATGCTGGAAAAACTATAAAACAGCTTTCTAAATTAAGTTTAGATCAAGATCTCATACTATATACCAAAATAAGCTCTAAATGAGTACATGACATACATGTAAAAATATATCATGAAGTAATTAGAGGAGTAAGGAAGAAAATACTTTTTCCAGCTATAGCGAGGAGAAGAGTACATGAACAGATGAGTGAAAAAGATGATAATAAAAGATAAATTAGATAATTTCCTCCCTTTTTCATTAATACATATTTTATAGAATAAAACAAGCATTTACATAACATAGTAAAATTTTTTAAAAAAGACAGATGATTGCACATGAAACTGCAAATCTACTAAGCACAACTTGCTATTCCTTTCAAATTTTTAAAAAAATTATCATGTACATTAATTTTTTTCTACCCTCCACCTACCCCACCCTAGAGATGACTGCAATTAGACACAAATAGATGTGTGTATGTATATATGCATGAATGCATATGTATACATATATGTGTGTATGTGTGTATGCACATACATATATGCATGTAAAATTGTTCTATACATAGTTCTACTTATCAGTTCTTTCTCTGTGTGCAAATAGCATCTCTCTTCATATTTCCTCTATAGTTGATTTGGGTATTTATAACAGACTTCCTCCAATGACCTTTGACAAGACTCAGGAAACATTTATAGGATATGTAAATAAGTGATAACAATTTGTAAATTATAATTTTTGAGTAACATTCCAGAGTAGAAAAGAAACAAACCCATGGACCACTCACTTTGCTTTTTGAATGAACAATGCAACTTCTTCCCTGCCACAGATATCAATATCTTTTCTCAGAAAAGAATGTTGGATCATAGTGTTAATCAGCTCCAGGTAGGCTTGGAGGCAAGGAAGTGAACAAAAGTTACTCTTTGTTGAATAGTTGGATATTATGTTTAATAGTCAAAGGATATCAGCAGACTGATTTTAAAGGAAGAAAACCAAGCTGTCAATAGCTACATGGAAAACAATAGTCTAAATCACTAATAATTAGAAAAATGCAAATTAAAATAACCACAAAGTTTAACTGCAAACCTACCAGATTGATGAAAATGGATATTCTTAGATCTGCAGGAAAAGGCTTGCTATTGCATTGCTGGACCTGGGGAATTTCCCATTTTTTTCTGGAAAACAATTTAGAACTATATTTATATTTATATATAAATATAACTATATTATATTTATATCAGTCACTAAACTGAGTCATAAACTTTGACCCACTCATACAAGTATATCTGCCTAAGAAGTCGAAGAAAGAGGAAAAAGAATGAATATCTTTTAAAAATAGTAGTTTTTTTACTTATATCAAAGAATTGGAAAGAAATTATGACATGTATACAAATTAGTACGTGGTTGAATAAATTAGAATATATGCATATTATTACACTGTAAGAAATAAAGAAAGGAATAATTTCAGAAAAACCTAGGAAAACTTCTATGAATTGATGCAAAGTAAAGGGAACAGAATCAAGCGATCAATTTATTAAGTAACAGCAATATCCTCATAAAGAAAAAAATAACTTAGAAATACCTGAGCAACCAGCCAAAATCACAGAGTAGGGAAAAGTAGTAGAGCCCAACTTCCTCCAAAATAGAACAAAAACATGTATTCAAAAAGTACTCCAAACCAAGTAGTGATAGGGAAATCCAAATAGAAAGAAAAAGGGGAAATTTTTTTTCACCCCATAGGCAAGTGACCAGGGCACTGAAAACAGAGGGGAACAGAGATCAGTAAGCACCATGGAAAAATGCTTTTGATCACCATTAGAGAAAGGCAAATTAAAGTAACTCTAGAGTTTAACCTTAAAGCCATTTCATTGGTAAAGTTGACAAAAAAAGGAAATTATAAATAGTAAAGGGGCTATGGGAAAACATGGATAGTTGCAGAACTCTGAATAGGTATAGCCATTGTAGGTATTAGTTTGAAAATATGTCCCCAAACCAACCAAACTGTATATCCTTTAACCCAACCATACCCACTAGGGCTATAGATCAAAGAAAGAAAAGAAGGGCATATGTGTGCAAATATTTATAGCAAATAATTTTTTTAGAAACTTATGAAAAGTTTTCATAATAAGAACTGAAAACTAAGGAGTTTAAATTTAATTGGGGAATGGCTGAATAAGTTATGGCATAAAATGTAATGGAATATTTTTATTATATAAGAAATCGTGAAGGGGATGGTTTCAGAGAAACCTGGGAAGATTTATATGAACTAATGTGGAGAATCAAAACCATTTATAAAACAACACTATAAAAATAAACAACTTTAAAATCTGTGAGAGCCCTGTCAAAACGATGATCAACCAGGATTTCAGAGGACAATGAGTAAAGCTTGCTCCCTACCTCCTGCCAGAAATGTGATAGACTCAGGGTGCAGAATCAAACAAATTTCTTTGATATGACCAGAGTGAGCAATTGTTTTTTCTCAACTATGAACAATGTTTTAAATATTTTTTGTTTGTTTGTTTTTGTTTTCAGTGTTGGAGAGTGGTGGGAGAGAAAAAGAATGATTTTTGTATTTTGAAAAAAAAATTAATTAAAAAAAGATAATAACTCCAATTGATCCAGTCACCAATCATAATTCCAGAGGACTGGTGATGAAGTACAATCCCCATCTACTGGTAAAGGGATTTGTACTCAATGAGCAGAATGGGACAAACATTTTTGGGGATAGTTAATGTCTGCATTTGCTTTGCTTGATTATGCTTATTTG